AATCCTCCAATGAGATGGCCGGCGATGCATGGATGGGTGGGGCCTTAATCTGTCTCCCGTCCCCAACCTTATCCGGTTTCATTTTCACCACCTGGAGGAGTTCCCCCTCTTCGAACGACTCGAAGCGTCGAGAGTCTCAGAAAATAGGAGCCAACTCCCCCTCCCCCGCTCTTTGCCTTGTGGTCAATGCCGGGGGATGGCCGAGCCTCCACCCTCGCGGGGAAGATGACGGCCCACTCCCTTGGCGTGGCTTCTTCTCCCGCTTCAAAGTCCTCCATCGTGTGCCTTGTTTACTTGCCCATCAATTAGAAGAGCTTCTTCCAATTTGATGAATGACCAGTTATGTCTGCGGCTCCTTCATTGCACAGAACTCGGGCAACTGCTCTGTGACGATAGATCGAGGAGTAGCGGTCTCACGTTGTGTTAATCGCTCTATCCATCAATTTCACGATTAAAAATGGTAGGAGGTTTAGCCCTTCATCAGACCCAACCGTTCATCCCGCCACCACCATCACGGAACCCCGCATCCCATGTTTCGGAACATCGGCCGAGGGAGCCGTTGTCGTGCCTCCCCCCACCGCACCATGTCAAAACCATGGAAGAATTCAAAAAGCTCCATGCTCGGTTCATTAAGCTCGGACTGGATCGCGTTCCCCGCCACGCCGGGGATCTTCTTCTGGCCTGCAGCTTGTCCGAATGGGGCAGCATGGACTACGCCCGCTCAATCTTCCTGGGGCTCGACGACCCCGGAACGTTCGATTTCAACACCATGATCAGAGGCTCGCTTGTCCACGGTGATCCACAGGGAGCACTCCTCTTTTACCCGGAAATGCTGCGGAGGGACGTGGAGCCGGACAATTTCACGTTTCCGTTGGTGCTCAAGGCATGTTCTCAGCTGTCAGCTCTTGCACAAGGATTGCAGATCCACGGGCATGCAGCAAAGCATGGATTCCAGTGCGACGTTTTCGTCCAGAACAGTCTGATCAACATGTATGGCAAGTGCGGCGAGGTCGAACGATCTTGCAGGGCGTTCGAGCAAATGGGCTCCTGCAGGACCGTCGTCTCCTGGAGCGCCCTGACGGCGGCTCACACCAGAATGGGGTTGTGGGGCAAATGCCTGGAGATCTTCGCGATGATGACGAGACAAGGCCTGCGGGCTGACGAGAGCTCCATGGTCAGTGCCCTCTCCTCGTCCAAGAATTTGGGCGCGTATGGTACGGGGAGAAGCATCCACTGTTCCTTGCTCAGGAGGTTTACCGGACTTAATGTCGTCGTGCAGACTTCGTTGATCGATATGTACATCAGCTGCGGATGCCTCGAGAAAGGAATTGCCATCTTCGAGACGATGTCCGAGAAGAACACGTGGACGTACAGCGTCGTGATTTCAGGGTTGGCGATGCACGGGGAAGGCGAAAGAGCGCTGCAGGTTTTCTCAGACATGCTCCACGGAGGCCACGAACCAGACGAGGCCATCTATGTCGGAGTTCTGAGTGCTTGCAGTCATGCGGGGCTGCTCGATGAGGGGCTCCGCTGCTTCGATCGTATGAGGGTCGAGCATCGCATCCCGCCCAGCCCTCAGCATTACGGGTGCGTGATAGACCTCATGGCCCGCGCCGGGCGGCTGAAAGAGGCATACGAGCTGATGGAGAGCATGCCGGCGGCGCAGACGGAAGCGGCCTGGCGGTGCCTGCTGAGTGCCTGCAAGACGCACGGAGAGCTGGAGGTGGCTGAGCGCGCCAGTAGGAATCTCGAGGAGTTGAATGCTCGTAACAGCGGAGACTACATAAATCTGTCGAACATGTATGCCGAAGCTAAAAGATGGAGCGACGCAGCGATGACAAGAAGAGAAATGGTGGACCGAGGGCTGGTGCAGGCCCCAGGATACAGCAGGGTAGAAGTGAAGGGCAAGATGCACACCTTTGTTTCAAACGATAAGAGGCATCCGCAGAGGCGTCAAGTGTACGAGATGGCGTATCAGATGGAGTGGCAGCTGCGGTTGGAGGGTTACACACCGGAAGAGAAGAGGCGGATGGTTGTTGGTGCAGAGAGTCAGAAGCTTGCCATCGCCTTCGCTCTGCTGAATACGAGCCAGGGAAGTCCGATCCGCATAATAACCAACCTGAGAATGGGGAAGGAATGCCATACCTACACCGCACTCGTATCGACAATCTTCGAGCGGGAGATCATTGTCAGGGATCGAAACCGATTCCACTGCTTCAGGCAAGGGGTATGCACGTGTGGAGATCACTGGTGAAGGAAACACGGGAGGCAGCAGAGCAGAGGAGCAGAGCAGCGGTCGACGTCCACTCCTTTCTCCTGTCAAAAAAAATAAAAGACTCTTCTTCTTAACCAATAATGTCTCTCTCTCGAGATAGATAATTAATTATACATGACGACAAAACAAATTACCCTTGCTAATTTGTTTTGGCAATCTTTTTTCTCTACCTCATGAGTCGTGCTGCTTGCTGTATGCTGCTGCTGCAACATGAAGGTGTCAATTAGGGATTTCAGTAAAAAACCCACTGCTCCATATTACCCTGATGGTGGAAAAATACTAAACAAACTTTTCTCAAACATAGAAAATCTGGCCTCCACGGACAGAATACTTTTACTTTTCTCTCTTTCTCTCTCTCTCTCTCTCTCTCTCTCTCTCTCTCTCTCTCTCTCTCTCTGGTTCTGATATATGGTATAACAATAATAATACAACAATGTTTAGATGTTGTTCGGAATATTGATATGCCTCAACAATAATAAGGGCAACTCGATCATCCAAGCCTCAATCCAGAAACTGCAGTTGACACTAGTTTAACTCTTGGGTCACCACTTTCCAATGACACACCACGTGGATCTTCTTTCACCAAAAGGGGCAAAACACCATGTGAGCTCCAAGTTTTGCCTACTGAATCGCTGGCGTCTCCAAGAATTATAGCAAAAACTGCATCGAAACCACCTGCTCCAGGAACCCCCGCCAACAAAACCCCTTCCAAATTCATTGTGGCATCCAGAAGTCGGGTTTGTGATTCTGGTTCGATCTACACAATTAAGAAAAAAGAAAATGAAGACACGATACTTACATTAAAGAGACCAGACAAGATGGACAATTTACTGACAACTTACGATTTGCTAAGTACCAGCATTTAGAAATGCAAATGACTAACTCCACAATATGATCACCGATGATATTCTAATGCAAGCAAGAGAATGTGTCATGAATCCTTTGGATGCAATTGTTCTTAGAATACACCTTAGCTGTAGTCATTATTGCAAAACCAAGAACATCTAATGCTTAGGTGTTTATTATTATTTGGGTCGAGGTATTAATTATTTGGTATTTTGTTTTAAGGTTACAAGTAGATTGCATCGCGTGTTTTGCTCAGATCGGGAAGAAAAAAAAGAACAAGATCATATCGAAGACAACACCACAAACAGGTCTTGCAAGAGCCAAAAGGAAAATTTCTGTGTTCAAGTCCGAGTGACTCCACTATGAGCTAATCTAAACTAATCTGCCAAGAATAACATAAATTCTATAATTACATAACAGTTTAATTGCATCAATGGGTACTCTATAGAATTCATACAAGTTCCTTTTGTCATGCATTCCAAAGAATGATCACATAATATAAAAACCATGTGACGAAAAGAAAGGGTGATTGTCAAACAATAGTTAACCAGAACCAACCCTCACATCATATAAAACCGAACAATGATCCTTGTTTACCAACCACACATTGTCTAACCAAATCAAATTCTCTCTCGATACGTTCCTCAAAAAATCCGATTCGTGCTGATTCTTCCCCCAACTAACGAAGAGATCTTGGCGGAATTGCCACATATGAAATTGAACACAATTTTGCAAAGAAATACCCCACTTGTTTCTCGAGAAGAGATGGGAAACATGCTCAATATCATTTGATTGAATAGTTGCCTCAGCTCCTTGTTGTTTGAAGAAACCCTCCCCTTCAATTGGTCTTTTTTCACGAAAAGCAGACATGAGATAACAAATCAAGTCTTTCCCTAAGATTTCGAATAGCTGTCCCAAATTCAAGTTGATTATGTTTCGCTTCTTCCTCGGAGAAAGACGATCAAACAATTCCCAATCATGGTCCTTGCGGATCGGATCATCCGTATAGGATAAAAAAAGAAACTCCAGATATTAGCTCTCTTTCTCTTTGAATGAGATCTTACAACTAGAATCCCTCTTTTTTCCGATCCGGTTCCTCCACCACCGCGAACTCTGGACCAACAAAAAAAATATGACCTCTCCAAAAAGTTGCTTGCACTTGTAGATATCACTGTTTGATATGCTTCAATAGCAAAGTATGTTACATATGGATCATAGGAAAGGAACTTGTTCACAAATATCAACTGATTTTGTGAGTGCAGTTCTGATGATAGATAATCTCCCCATTAAGTGGCATATCGCCTTCTCAACTGACTTTACATAAATTTTCATACTGTCAGAACCAACTAGCTTTAGAGGTGCAGCGGGGCCTAAGACATGAGGATCCACGATGAGTGATCTAGCACGTCTTTGTTACCGAGATACATGCACTTGACCGAAGAGAGCAATTTAAAGCTTCTTCTTTGTAATTGCATATATACAGAACTTTCTATAGCACAAAAAAAATTTCCTAAGATATAGAATTGCTTCCTGAGCCTATTTAATTCATTACATAGAACATTGATTATAAGTTTACGAATCAAGTCTGCCTTGTAAAAAGATAGATCATTCATAAAAAGGTCACACAATAACAACAACAACAACAAAGCCGTAAATCCGAATTATCTGGGGTCGGCTACATAAATCTTTTGCCGTCACTAAGATTTGTAAAAAGTTGTATATTTAGTTAAGTTTAAAGTATTTAAATTTTTATTTATAGTTTTTATTAAAGTCCTTTTAGCTCTTCTATTTTTTCTCGTGCCACTAATATTAATCATTTCATCTCTTCTGATTACTGTATCTGAAGGTCTCATACAATCTTAAACGATTTTTTCTTATCTTATTCTATATCAAAAGATACCTAGTTGAATTGGGCAGGCATTCAGTTGAATTACTGAAGCGATACCATTCATGAAAATGCTACAGTACCATTTGAATTAAGCAGGCAAAGGACAATCAATTTAAATTCTAAAATAGCTTAAAATCATGTTATCAGGCTGAAACTCAACAGGCAATGAGTTTTTAGTTTCTACAACCAGAAACGTTTCGTGTCCAGCCTGAGCACAGCTCTCTCAGAATATTCTAAACACTGGACCAAACTTCCACAAGATCCTGTAAGCCTTAACAAACTTGTTAAGAGCTCACAGGCATGCCTTGTCTAGTTGGAACAAATCTGAATTGCATTCCACAAGTTACTGCAGGTAGCAGCATATATCTTAGCAATAAACTGTCTTAACAAGTAATCAAGTCGTTTTATTCTCCAATATAAACTACATAATAACAAAAACCTAGAAGATTTGTCCTGAACAAAACCCATAATGAGACTTGGAACAAAATAAACTTACAGGAACACCAGCTGCCTTGCCCATTTCTCGCATATGAAGCCTAATCTCTAGAAAAGCATTTCTTGCTCCTATCAATGACTTGACGACAAATTCTTGATATTGATCATTAACAAGCTGCATCCACTGGACAAGTATAGGTTCTTTTATATTAGGATGATTCACCATAAACAAAAAGAGAGGTAACAGAAATTCTGTAGAAAACATAATTAAAACACAACAATCATAGAAAATTGACATGTATTTCACAGCAAGTAACACTTCACCAAATAGATTGATGCACTGACTCTGATGCTCCAAAAGATTATAATATCTTATATAATTTATACTATCTTTTTGGACCAAAAATTGCCTATCTCTTAGGGATATGAAAATTATTTATGAATAAAAGAGAAAAATCTAAGATGCAAGATGACATTCAGAAATATATATTCTCGAAAGAAACAGGAAAAATGTTCACACAAGAAAAACATAGATTTTCAAACTTGCCATGAATATTAAAATATTAAAAATCTCCGGGAAAAATCTACAAGCTTTAAGCTTTTCTTTGTGTCCAAAGAGAAATTTCAATGATTGAGGGCTTATATTCTAAAGAGAAATAGGAAAAGATGTCAGTAAACATAAATTTTAAAACTTGTCATGAATATAAAAATGTTATATACTGAGAAATAAAAGTGTTTTTCATTTTTATTAGTTGATCATATAAATATTCAAAAATCTTTCATACATGTATTTAATGGATATTAAATGCATGCAAATGGCAACACCAATTCCAATGCTAATACAAATCTGCATGTTCTCCTTGCTCTTAAGACATCCTTGTCAGACTTCTAACTCCAATCAGAACCACAGCACCATAATGTCCCATGGTCAGCACTAATCATGCTCTAGCTTGTGGTTGCTTGGGTTTCTTGACTCTAATACCATGAATAAATCATCGAGCTCCAACCATAACTGCTAATTTGTCATAATTGGGACATGTTTGTCTTTAACTATTCCTTCCTTAACTGTTCTTTTCCGGAAATCAAATGTTAGAAGACTCTGCATTCAGGAACAGAAGCAGGGTTCCTATTTACATGAATTGGGTTAAAAGATATGCATCATTCTTTTCAGTTACCATTTTCTGTTAATTTGGTTTTCATTTAACAAGTGAATGCACGATGTAAGAAGTTACTAAATACCATTCCATGGGCATGCCGGCTGCAGCTGCTGATAATATGGCTGTATGCATCCCAGTAATCCGCTGCTAGCTTGCTTAAATTTTTTAATTGCTCCTCAAGCATTGAATTGGCAGATGCAATTCTTTTCCATGTTTCTTGGGACTTCTGAGGATCAGACTTTTGCCACTGCTTCACAGAGCCAACCATTGAGGGGGTAGATGAACCTCCAGTGCCAGGTTCCCCTAGTAGCTGACATGACAATTTAACCACATAAAAAGTTCATAAAATGCCTAATAAAATACAGATACAGAGAAAATCAAGAAGCTTTGGACAAAATAACCTAACTCACAAGATAATCTCAAAGGAACCAGCATAATTAACATGAAGATGTACAATAAAAAATATGCTAAAAATACATATTGCTCCTTGACATTTCAACTCATCATTGTGGAAAAAAAAAAAAACTTTCCAAGCACATTCCCAAAGGAAGAATGCTAGAAAAATTTTATCACGACTTTTTATCAATTGGGAAACGTCACATAGTTGATTAGTCGAAGGCGTCAAGGAAGTTGTAGGCTTACAAGGGTCATAAGTGGAGGTAAGGAGAAATGAGACTTGTCATGATCCCATTTTGCTTGCAAAATATCAGTGACTACATCCAGCAAATGCTTTTCTCCAGTTACCTGTAAATTCATAATAAGATAACTCTAAGTAATAAATCTCTTTATCAATAAATTAAGGTTCTGACTTTTTTGT